CCAAGCTCTCTGCTCTATTCTAAGCCAGAGGTACCAATCTAGGCAGTAGTTTGTCTGGCTTTTCTCAAGGCAACTAACTGCCCCCCCCACTACCCCCTCCCTTTATCCTTAGTTCTAAGTTCTAGAAACATAAGGAATGCTGCAGCTGCCCACTGGCAAGTGTCCTTTTGTCAATTAGACCTCAATTTTCTTCCAGCCCTTTCCCTGACTCTTTTTCTGTTAGGTTATATATATTCTCAAAGGGCAGAAACCCAAAGCTGTCTACATTGGGTTTTCAAGTATTTCAGTGATAACTAGACATGTATATTATATTATCCTGGAGGCCACAGATAAGCAGCATAGGTATCTTGGATGAAAAATCTTATAATCCAACTAGATTGTAAGCCCCTTGAAGGCAGGTGGGGATACTATATCTGATATAACACCAATGTTCCCATAGTTTGACAAGCTTAGTAAACTGGACCAGGAATCATAAAATCTGAATTATAGTCTAGGCTCTGCCAAGCTGCATGATTTTTTTGACCTTATCAAAATCCCTGCCACTTTTCCTGTCATTCCTCTCCTACATTAGGCTGTGGTGTTCTGGTTTACTCATCAGGCAGTTCTAATGTCCAATCCTAGCTAGTCCTCATATTTATCTGTAAAATGAATGAAAAGGTAGGCTAAGAAATGCTTAAGAACAATGCTAGCAATGAAGTGTTTTCAAATGTACTTTTAAAAGACATGCTATTTGGAAGCTATAAAAACTTGTGGTCTGTAAGTCATTTGAGCTGGAGATAATTACCAGGTGGCAACATTATAGACATACAGTTCTAAATCAAAACTGCTAAAAGCAGGTGGACAGTTTCAAGTCCATAATGTTCTGAAGAGCTTACATAAGGGACACATCGTGTCCTACTGATGTTTGTTTCAAAAATAGATTTCTTAGTGATACAAGGTGTTCCAACATCAATCTTGACTTGACTTCCTTTAAAGGAAAAAAGACCATTTAGAAATCATCTGTAAAAGTGGATGATTGACTTCTTTTTTTTTTTTTTTTTTTTTAAAACCTTTTTTTTTTTTTTTTTTTTTTTTTTT